GATAGATAGATAGATAGATAGATAGATAGATATGATGGATAGATGAAAGACAAATAGACAGACGATAGACAGAGATGATAAAGATGATAGATGGGTAATAGATGATAGATCAACAGAGAGATAGACAGGCAGATGATGGATAGATGATAGACAGATACAGACAAACAGATGATAGATGATAGATGGGTAATCGATGAGAAAGAGAGAGAGAGAGAAAGATGAGAGAAAGGATGAGAGAGAGAATGGGGCAGAGAGAGATAATGAGAGAGAGAGAGAGGGAGAGAGAGAGAAAGGATGAGAGAAAGAATGAGAGAGAGAATGGGGCAGAGAGAGATAAAGAGAGAGAGGGGATGAGAGAGAGAATGGGACACAGAGAGAGGATGAGAGAGAAAGAAAGGACGAGAGAAAAAACGGGAGAGAGAGAATGCGAGATTGGTTACTGGTTATTGTTCCGCTTCTAAAAACCATCTGCATGCGCCTAGCCAACCTCTGACCTGTAATTCCCATGAGTGATGCACTTGGTTCCCTGGAAAGCTAGACGAGGCTCTCCCTAACACGCTTCCATTTAAAAAGATTTTTTCTTAAAAAAAAATCCAGGGCCTGACATCGCCAAAGTAGGGCAGTTCCTGCCGAGCTGCTGCCGTCGTCTGTGTGAACACGAAACATCCTGTTTTCCTTTTGGCATTCTTTCTGTTCCCCTCTGGGAATCCCCCCCCTTCATAGACTGGAGCTATATCTGTCTCCAGGAACAAAAGCCAAAGAGGAAAAGAAGTCTGGACAAACTTAGGAGAAGTTCAGAAGGAGGTGGGAGGAGGACAATTCGGTGCCAGACAGGAAATATGGGTAGTCCTCAACTAACAACAGCAATTGGGACCAGAATTTCTTTGTTGTTGTTGTTGTAATTTTTTAAAACTTTATTTAAGGTACATACAATTCACCTTCCATTTAACAGTGTGTCGCCTGGGCACAAATATCTTGAGCAATAACCATTAAAGTTTACATCCGTGTTCATTACTTTGGTATTCATTCTCTATTCTGATCTTATGAATACGCACCATATCTCTATGACTGTAATGCTCCTCTTCTTAACATGTTTAATCCTATAAACCTATTTTCTATATTTCGCTAATCTATTAGCGATTTCTAGCTTTCATATTTTTTCTCTCTAGCCATCGATAAAATAACTCCCATAATCTTATAATATTCCATTTGCTCCTTCTCTTTAATTGCAAGTATTCATTTCTGCACATTCTCATATTTTTCTAATCACATTTTCATCGGTAGGAATGAAAAAGTTGTGGGAGCGCCATCACTTGAAACTTTCAGGAAGAGATTGGACTCCCATCTGTCAGAAACGGTTGTAGGGTCTTCTGGTTGGGCAGGGGGTTGGACTAGATGACCTCCAAAGTCCCTTCCAACTCTGTGGTCCTGTGAATACCGAGGGACCAATGAGCAAAACACCCGTTTTTAGACGCAACACACCATGAGTTCAGGCCCCGCGAGAAAACTCTTTTAGCGTATACAGAATTGCTCTGCGAATGTTCTTCTCCGGTATGAATATCATCACTAATTTTTATTCTCTCCCCTGACCCCCCAAAAAACTCTCTTCTTTCCTACAGAGAAATCTGGAGGCGTTTTGTCAGAACGTGGAGCTTCACCAGCTGCCTTCAGAGCTTCACCCTGACGTGTCTAAAATCGACGCCTCTGGAAATAAGATTCGAAACGTCACCGAGAGGCCCCTGACTTTCTACGCTTCCCTCCGTCACTTGGACTTGAGCTCCAACCTGATTGGATTTGTCGAGCCTGGGATCTTCGCAAAGATGAAGAACCTGCAGGACCTCAACTTGGCCGACAACCAGCTCTACCTGTTGGCGCAGGAAGATCTGTGGGTTGGGTTGCTTCCCCAAGTCAGGAGGCTCGATCTGTCTCGCAACAGCCTCTACAGTGGGATGGCGGAGCATTTCCTTCACCAGGCACCTTCGCTGCGATATCTTTCCTTGGCAGAAAACAGCATCATACACGTCTCCCAGAGCATGTTCGGAGGTACTCCAGAGCTGGTGGAAGTCAACCTGCACAACAACATGATTATGGAGATAGAAGAAGGAGCGTTTGAGAGCCTGGCACGTCTCGCCAAGCTGAACCTCTCCACCAACTCCCTCACGTGCGTCGTGGAGTTCAACCTCAGGCAGCTGGAAGTTCTGGATCTGAGCTGGAACAGCATCGAGTCCTTCCACTCCACCCTGTCAGAGGAGGCCTTCAACTTGATCTGGCTCGACCTGAGTCAGAACAAGCTCCTTCGCTTCCCTGTCCTCCCCCAAGGAAACAAACTGGCTTATTTGAACCTAACCAACAACATCATGCAGTTTGTTATGGTGGATTCCCGTAGTGACGTAGACTACCAGTGGGAAGATGGGCCTCCGTATCCCAACAATTCCCACCCTCCCTACTTACCTGCCTTGTTATCCTTGGACCTCAGTTACAATGAGATCCAATCCATCCCGAGCCAGTTCTTTGACTCCATGCTGTCCCTCCAATTCCTCAATTTAAGCAAAAACTGCCTGCAGACTTTTGGGACGACCAACGAACTGGCCTCGTTGTCCATCCTTGACCTTAGCTGCAATTCCATGAAGAACCTTCAGTTGGGCACCAACACCTTGAGAGGTTTGCAGGAGTTCCACCTCCAAGACAACCATCTTCAAGAGCTGCGCCCAGATCTCTTTCAAGATCTTCCACGTCTTCAGTGGCTTGATCTGAGGAACAACAGGATCCGTCTCTGTGACTCGCATTCAGGAAGGCACCAGGTGTCTCCTCACGGCTGTGTCTCGTTTGTGCGAGTTCCGGAGCTTCAGTATTTGTACCTTTCGGCCAATCGTTTGAAGAACCTACCCAGGTACAACTTCTTCGGGACTAAGCTTAGGGTTCTGGATATCTCGATGAACTGGGGGCTTCAGATAGAAGCCAACTCGTTGGTTGGCTTGGAATTCTCGCTGGAATACCTGGATTTACATGGGAATGGCCTGGCCACTCTGGAGGTGGATTTTTCTCTCTTCCCTTACCTCAGATATCTCAATCTATCGGACAATCGGCTTAGCTGGTTGCCCGCTTGGTCAGAAGATTGTTGCGTCCTTGAAGTCTTAGATCTTCACAACAACAGCTTCAACAGCTTGAAAAATAGCCGGATCCCAACTCTGGAGAAAAACCTACGGAATTTGTACCTGGTAGGGAACCCGCTGAGTTGTTGCGGGAACACCTGGCTCTCTCAAATGATCCATAAAGCCGTGGTGGAGATCCCTGATCTAGACTTGGTCAAGTGTCAGTTTGCCCGGAGTTTGGGATTTGAGGAGGAAGAGGTCCACATGAGCCAGGTCAGGCCAGAAGACTGCGAGAGGGAGGACCTCAAGAAAATGAGTGTCTTGATTTTGCTGGCGATTCTGCTGGTTCTCTCGCTGATCGTCATCGGAGTCGGCTTGCTTTGTTGTTATCGGAGACACTTATTCGGGCGCCATTACAAGGTGTAGACCGAGAGAGAGAGAGAGGCCTTGCACCGTTGTGTTTTCATCTCTTGGACAACAGACGACAACAACACCCTGGCGCCAAAGGGGGTGATTCGATTCCACCAGGGAGTTTTCAAAAGGCTGTGAAAGTTTGGATGATTCATTCTCACAGTCCAAGTGGTCATTCAGGGAGAACGTTGGTGAAGATATTCTCTTCTGGGTTCAGGGAGAACAGGGGGCCAAGCCGTATTCCCGGATGGATCTAGAACTGGGCTTCCCAACCTTGGCAACATTAAGAAGAAGAACTTTGAGGTTCTTCTAAAAGAATTTTTTAAAGAAGAGATTGGACAACCATTTGTCTGAAATGGTATAGGGCAGGGGTCTTCAAACTCGACAGCTTTAAGACTTGTGGACTTCAACTCCCAGAATTCAGTCAACTCCAGTCATGTGAGCTCAGGAATTCTGAGAGTTGAAGTCCACAAGTCTTAAAATTGCCAAGTTTGAAGAGCCCTGGTATAGGGTCTCCTGCTTGAGCAGGGGGTTGGACTAGAAGACCTCTAAGGTGCCTTCCAACTCTGCTATTCTGTTATTCTGCTCCTTTGCGTATATCTAGTGTCATGAGGAGAAGGACTAAAGTGACATGATAGCATGCTTCCAATATTTGAGGAGAGGGGGTCAATCTATTCTCCAAAGCCCCTGAGGGCAGGACAAGAAGTAAGATGGCAGATGATCAAGGAGAGAAGCAACCTAGAACTAAGGAGGAATTTCCTGACAGTGAGAACAATTAACCAGTGGAACCGCTTGCCACCAGAAGTTGTGGGTGCTCCATCACTGGAGGCTTTTAAGGAGAGATTGGACAACCATTTGTCGAAAACAGTATTAAGATCTCCTGCTTGAGCAAGGGGTTCGACTAGATGACCTCCGAGGTCCCTTCCAACTCTGCTATTCTGTTCAGATGGGTGGACTTCAACCCCCAGAATTCCCTAGCCAGTTGTGCATGGCAGAATGAGAAAAATATGTTTTATTTTGTTAAGATTCTATGGATCTGGTTTATTCGGAGAAAAAGACAATATAGGAAGAAAGACATCACTTGCCTAGGCTAGGGTCATCCTAAGAATAGAATAGAATTAGAATAGAATAGAATAGAATAGAATAGAATAGAATAGAATAGAAATAACAGAGTTGGAAGGGTCCTTGGAGGTCTTCTAGTCCAACCCCCCTGCTTAGGCAGGAAATCCTACACCACTTCAGACAAAGGGTTGTCCAAGCTCTTCTTTAAAACTTCCAGTGATTGCAAGGGGGCAGTCAAAGATGCCAAGATGGCGACTGCAACCCTACGATGAAAGCCTGTCCATTTTGTGTGTGTGTGTGTGTGTGTGTGTGTGTGTGTGTTTGTGTGTGGCACAACCACAAGTGGCTGTGGCTACCGTCGACCGCTTTCTCTTCACACTGTTCTGGATCTGTGCAGTTTTATTCAGTTGTTGTGTTCTCCTTTGTTATCTGTTGCAGTCAGGGGCTCAATCACAGGGTTGCCAATGGATGGAGGTCAAAAAAAGATGGCAAGATGGCTGCCACTCTGAGGGGATTCCAGCCCTGCCAGCTTTTTGTACATTGCACACGGATGGCACCATTGTGGCCGCCATCTTGATTTTTTTGACCTCACTGGGTGCGGACACCTTTGATCAGATAAGCATAAAGGTCTGAGGAAATACAAATGCCAGACTTCCCCAGTATTGTTGTTATATTATGTTATATTTGCACTGTCTGCTTTTGTTGGCAAGCATGAAGAAACGGATGAATCCTTTGAAACAAGCCAAATACCATAAAATTACACTCAGCTACTTTTTTCATATATTTTGGGGGGCCATGTTATAGGGGCTTTTTTTTTTTTTGGCAGGAGGGGGATTTCTCCAATCCTGCCTGTTTTCTCTGAGATCTCCTGGTGGTCTCCCATTCATCGCCTCACCCCTCCTGACTTTTGCATGGAAAAAACAGATGGATCCTTCCCAATTAATCAAGTATAAGCATTGATAAGTTATTATAAACTTATAAAATGTATATGTAAATTTATATACATTTGCAAGGACCATAAAATCACACTCAACTTCTTTTTCGTTGGATTTTGGGGTTGTTTTTTTTTTTCAATGATAAGAGAAGTATTTCCTTTTGTTTTGTTTTGTTTTCTTCCAGTCCTGCCTATTTTTCTCTGAGATCTCCAAGTGGTCTCCTCTCCAGTCCAAACTAGCCTGACTTTTGTATGTTAATTTTTGAGATCAGCCGGAATGGTCTCAGGTCTGTCACTTCCTGTAAATTAAGTTTCCATATTTTAGATGTTTTAACAGGTTTAACAGATAATCAGAGTTGCAAGGGACCTTGTAGGTCATCTAGTCCAACCCCCTGTTCAAGCAGGAAACCCTATACCAAAGGGTCTTCAAACTTGGCAAGTTTAAGACTTGTGGACCTCATCTCCCAGAATTCCTCCTCCTCCAGTCATGTTAGCTCAGGAATTCTGGGAGTTGAAGTCCACAAGTCTTAAACTTGCCAAGTTTGAAGACCCTTGCCCTACACCCAACAGATGTGGGGCCTGGAACAATTTCCCTGCTTTAAAAATACGTATATATGTATAGTGTTTTCTCTGGCCACGGGTGCAATTTAATAGAATAGAATTCTTTATTGGCCAAGTGTGATTGGACACACAAGGAATTTGCCTAACTGGACAGAAGGCTCAAACTACCTCTCTCCTTTTATGGGATCCTTCCTTCCGTGCAGCAGGAAAGGAATTGTGGCTGGCAGGAAAGTGGGAGCCAATTGTTGTGTCTCTGGAAACACGCAATGGCTGCACGTTGGGCCGGCATCTGTGCATGTGTGAAATTGTGTTTTCGTGGCTGGGTTCACAAAAAATGCCTGAAAATCCAGAAATCTGCAACTACAGGTATTCCTGAACTTATGGCTGTAATGAAACCCAAATTTTCCGTTCCTAAATGAGTTTTGCCCCATTGTATGACGTTTCTTGCCACTGTTGCAAAACGAATCACTGCCGTTCTTAAGTGAGTAACACGGTTGTTTAGGGAATCTGACTTCTCCATTGACTTTTGCTTGTCCGAAGGTCTCAAAATGGGATCCTATAACCTCAGGACATGGCAACCGTCATATATATGAACCAGTGGCAATGCTGCAACGGTCCTAAGGGTGGAAAACGGTCACATAATAAGTCACTTTTTTCAGGGCTGTTGTAAATGAATTCTTGTAAGTCAAGAATTCCCACAACAACATGCTAAGGTTAACACTTGTTTCAATATGTCACAAAAAGCCAGTTTAATTCAAGGCATATTGTGTGAACAGAGCCAATATGAATGTGTGAATGGAGGTGTCCGCTAAGTGTGGTTTAGGAGAAAAAGACCAAGAAGGCAGCTGGAAGGTGCATTGTAAGCTCCCCCTGTATGTGGGAGGCGCTGCCACGGCCTCCATCTTGACTTTTTTGCCCAGTGTTGTCCTTCAACCTTGTCTGCTGGATGGCCAGTGTGGGGGCAGGAGTTGGGCAAAGGGGAGCAGATGAATGTGGAAGATGCTGGTTTGATTGACCTATGTCAAATCCCAAACTGGATGAAGACAATACTATTGTTCATGAAAATGTTTTGTCTAAACAAATAAACTCTATTATGCCATGCTGGGATGATCTGTTTCTTGGTTATTCTGTTATGTAACAATCTTTCTTTCTTTCTTTCTTTCTTTCTTTCTTTCTTTCTTTCTTTCTTCTTTCTTTCTTTCTTTCTTTCTTTCTTTCTTTCTTTCTTTCTTTCTTTCTTTCTTTCTTTCTTTCTTCCTTCCTTCCTTCCTTCCTTCCTTCCTTCCTCCTCCTGCCTTTCTTCCTCTTCCCCTTCTTCCTTTCCTCCTTCTGGTTCTTCTTCCTTCTCCTCCTCCTCCTCCACCTTCCTTCTACTACTTCTTCTTTTTCTCCTCCTTCGTCCTTCTCCTTCCTTCTTCCTTCTCGTTCTCCTCTTCTTCCTCTTCTCCTTCTTCCTTCTCATTCTCCTCTTCTCCCCCTTTTTCCTTCTTGTTCTCCTCCTTCCTTCTACTATTTCTTTTTCTCCTTCTCCTTCATCCTTCTCCTTCCTTCTTCCTTCTTCCTTCTCGTTCTCCTCTTCTTCCTCTTCTCTTTCTTCCTTCTCATTCTCCTCTTCTCCCCCTTCTCCTTCCTTCTCGT